ATAGCAAGCATCTAGCCGTAATTTGAGGCAGGGCCTTTCCTAATTGTTGGTCGGTGAGAACCCCAGTACGTACAGTGTTTGCTCCTGTACGTAAATGAGAGACGACGAAAATAGTCGACAGAGAGAAAAGGTTCAGGCATGGTAGAGTCAGTCAACGCCAACAGCCTCAGCCACCAGATCTTCACAGCCAACCATAAGCATTGGTTGCGGTGACAGATTTGGGCTCTAAGCGTCGCGGCTTACCTTGTCACAAAACCAGGGGCTTACCAATGAATGGTGGCTTCCTCCCCGCCAAGGGCAGGGAGTTGTCCATGCTTAAACTGTCACAGCCTTAAATCCTCGGTGCCTGGGGCCAAAATATTCCATCACGCGGCGCCTATCATCTGGCGCGCCTATCGCATGTCTCCCCTCAACCTTTAGCCGTGCGACACGGCCCCCTTCACACTTCCATGGAATTTCGATGCGCAGCGAAGCAGATCAGTCACAGCCCCAGACAGTTGAGGATGAAATTGCCGAGCTCGAGCGCCGCTTGGAAGTAGCCAAGGCCCGGCTCGCGGCCACGAAGACGGCTGAGGAGACCCTTCTGCCCCTAACCCCCTCCAGTCCAATCCTACAGACCCAGAGTAAGGGCAATCCCTTCCCGCCTCATGTTCCCCACCAGTTTTGACACAGAGTCAGTCCCTCTCGGTGCTTCTTCCCACCATTTCCTGCTTCTCCTTGCAGACTCGGCCCTTCCCCTAGGATCTTTTGCGTTTAGTAGTGGCCTCGAGTCATACCTCGCTCACTGCCGCCGTGCCTCCTCCTTCCCCGCCTTCCTGGGGCTGTCTGTGTCATCGTATGCATCGACAACTCTCCCGTTTGTACTCGCGGCGCATCGAAACCCGGCTGATCTCATAGAGCTGGATGATGCCCTGGATGCCGCTATCATTTGTACTGTGGGCCGCCGTGCGTCCATTGCCCAAGGCCGGGCTCTGCTCTCGATCTGGGACCGATCATTCAGGTCAGCCCTACCGGCTAACCCATGCGCCGCTACTGCGCAGGTACTGAAGGATTTCTCTGCCCTTATGCGCCCGTCGACATCGACATCTTCTGCGTCAAATGAGCTTCCTCCAGCTTCCGCCCATCTGGGGCCTCTGTTTGGAGCAATTTCTTGTCTGCTGGGAATGACGTTGGAGCAGACTGCGTATGTGTTTATGCTGAGTCATGTGAAAGCACTGCTCTCTGCAGCCGTGCGGGCGAGTATCTTTGGTCCGTATCATGCGCAGAAGGTGCTAGCAAGTGCTAGTGTGCGGCATGGCATCGACGAAGTTGTCAAGCGTGAGTGGAATACCAAGATTGAGGATGCTGGGCAGAGCGTTCCTGTGATGGATTTGTGGATTGGAAGGCATGAGATGCTGTATTCTAGGATCTTCAATAGCTGAAACATTTCTGCGCAAGAGGGAGTAAAGTGCGCACTGCCAGGCAGGCCCTGGATGAATTTTAGCATTCCTACCCTTCTTTGAGTGCTGTATCTAGTCATACAAGACCCCCTGAGAAAGCCAACGCCAGTATGGGGATATCCCTCAGTCAGAATCGCTATCATACGCCACCAACGGCCCGGAAGAAGCTGCCGCTTTTCGTTTCGGCCCAAAGGACCCCTGGGCGCCTTGTATTGCTGCAAGGGCATTGTCCGAGAGTATCCCGTTTTCTTCCGCCTCAGCCTTCTCTGCCAGCTCAGCACTCTCAATCATTAACCTTTGTTCATCTTCCAATTCAAATCCCTCTCTACCAGCAGCATTAACTGCATTTGAACCTCTCGCAAAGTACACATCATCAGGAGCTTCGTATCCTGCTAGTCCAAAACCGCCCTCTATCCTTTTCCGCTTCCGGGCTTCTGGATCTCGTCCTTCGATTTCAGCAATAAACTCTGCTGGTAAAGCCCTTCTCACGGCCTCTGCGGCCTGTTCTTCGATCCTCCGGGCTTCTCGCGCCTGTGCCATGGGATTTGGATCTGCTGTCGCCCACCGCACGTTCAGAATCTCGCTATGATCTAATGCCTGGTGTGCCATCGCCTCTTTCGCAAACTGTGCGTTGGCCTCATTTGAATATGTAATGAATGCAACGCCTCGAGTATTGAGAACACGGACTGCACCTACGTTAGCCATGGACTTACACAAATGTGTAGAGGAAGACTCACTTCGCTCAATTTGGCCCCATTCGGCGAAATGCCTCGCCACAACCTCCTCAATGTCTTCGCTGACATGTATCCTGCCAACGTAGATGGTCCTGTTTTGCCTCATAAAGCTACCAACGCCGCCCATATCATCTCTGTAGTCAGAATGCTTGTCCCGCCCAAAGACGTCAACATTCGGGTTAAACATGTCGTGAATTCCGGGTAATCTATGCAAGTACTCGCACTCTTGCCCCTTGGGACATATGCCTCGAGCAAAGAAGAGGCAGAAATAACTCCCGTTGATTTTGTCGGCCTTGGTGTACCCACTATCATTTGCAATATTGCATCGTGATATGGCAGCAGTCTGCGATAAGTACTTGTCCTCACGATCGCCACCAGACCACTTATTGTACCAGATATTGAAGATGGTGCCTGTCTGCGGAGGAGGCTCGGATTTCATAGTAGAAGGATCGATCTGTGCTCGCGCGGGGCGCTTCTTCCTGCGAATAATCTTCTTGACCTTCTTTTCCGTCGCAACTGTAGTCTCGTTATTTGTCGTCGTAAGAGCTGTTGAGGCCCCCCCTTCATCTGTTCCCGGGGGCGCCATAGCGGGCGGTGTCGCCGTCTCGACGTGGGCCATGGTATAGGTCGTCTAGCTGTGTTGTGATGTGAGGAAGAGGAGAGTCTTAAGGCTGAGAAATATTTGGCTGTAGTCAGTAAAGTGACCTTAGCTTCCGCGCCACCGCGGTCCTATCACTAAAGCGGCACGGCCACAGCCGAAAGAGGAAACATGAGCTGTCGGTTTCAACTTTTCAGTACACTCAACTAATATTGGGTACACAAAATAATGAAGCAAACATTCTGTTTAGGAAGCCAAGAGTCACTGTATCCCTCCTCATATTGATTCGAGTTATTGAGATAGTTCTCCCCCGTCTTAAGCTGTTTGCCAAGCATACAGCACCCAGAACTTTCCGCTATCATGGAGCAGTCCTCCAAATGGCCTTTACACTATCTCTAGGTCTCTAAGTCATCTGCTATTGCCTCTGCTCATGCCGATAACCCCTTCTCTTGATATAAGCGGGGGATTTTTGCTTCTAGTGCTTGCGTTCGCATATTCCGTGCACTTCACCAGCTGCTATTACAGGGCGGCATGTGCATTTCCGAGGTTGTAAGATTGAACTCCAAAGTCGATTCGAAGGTTCGATATGCCTTTACTTGGCCACAGGCGGAGAACCTCTGGGTTGCTCACAGAGAAATGATCTGCATTTTGTATGACGATGTGCAAGCCTCTTCCTAAGAAATCGCGGCTCTCGGCCCAGCCACAGTGGCTTTCTGCTCTATCTTGCGGTGCTTTTGTCGCCTCTGCTTCACAATTCGGCTTAATGCATTACCTTAGATTGTTGTGAAGCATCACCGGTGGAATTTCTCGATGATGTAGTCTGGCAAGCATGCGCCGAGCAACAACAGAGGGCAGAAGATGATGATAAGGGCAAGGTCCTTAGGACTGATCGAGCTCCAGCTTGCCATAGGTGTTGCGGTAATACTGTACTGGTGTTATGAATCTTGGGAGAGCCTAAAGATCATCGGGGAATGCTGCGGATATGACGGGCGTGCCTTATATACACACGGTACAGCTCATCTGCATATCTAAACGACCGGACGAAGCCCCCGATCCTCGCCGTGTCAACGTGGTATCTCATATACCTTGTTCCAGCACAGCATGCTTGTTTATAAGCGATTTCGATTTATGCACCTGCGGTTCTAGGTCCCAATTCCTGTTAATCTTAACATCTTACGCACTGCGCCTGTTATCACTGCCTACAGTACATACGGTTCCAATCAATCCTTGTTCCTTGCAGTTTGCCTTCCAGTTTCGGGGAATTTTCCTGCAACTGCAACCTCCAGTCCACACCAGACCGGTGTCCGGGAGCTTGCAGATAATGGCGTGGAACGTGTCTAATGCCCTTGACCCAGGCTCTCGACTCTCCGTCGTTTTGGACTTCTAAGTCGGCGTGTTTCCCCGAACAGGTCAAGGAATTCATGCGGAACGGCTCGCATCTCACTCAACCCCACTCCCGTTCCGTTTTGGCGGGCTGGGTCGATGATAAACTGTCCCCCTGTCTGGGAGGGCTTCTGGGGACGGCCGGCTGACAATGACTGAGGCCTCAACTGTGCCGCGCTCGGATTGGGCGGAGAAGCCCCCGAGAGACACGTTGGCTACTCCCCGTATTATCTGTTGGCAAGGGCAAGCTGGTTTATGAAGTAGGGTAGCAGTCGGTATGAAGCCTATGAAGTTTCGCCTCACTTTATGCGGTTAAAGAGCTTCAGGGCGTGGATTTTACGATGAGCCCAACCAAAGGTATGTCTAGCACATGCCACTACACCCTCTTCAACCACAGGATAGAGGGATCTATGTAGTCTTCATATTCCCCTATATATGATCCGTTAAATGCATATCTGATCCAGATAGCTCATATACACTGCTCTCCCGTCAATGTATGGTTGATATAGACCCCTGTGATCAGATAACGAACACATGCCGAAGGTCGATATAACAACCTTGCAGGTACAATAGTCTTGTAAATAAACAATCAAAGGTCCCTATCCTGTAACCTCATCACTTGCTGAACCATAAGATCTAAGCACCTCGCGCCATTGATGGATGGACATAACGAAGTGAGAACCAAGCCGATCACATATATACCCTCGTTCACTAGAAACTGAGAAAGTAGAAACAAAACTATATTATAAAAAAAGAGAGGTCAATCCTGTCAACCTCTTCTCGGGCTTCAAAAAAAAAGGAGAAAAGAGAAAAGAGGCAACGAAAATATAGCAGGCGCGGGAATTGAGCCCACGGCGAGACTCGAACTCGCAGCATTCAGATTAAGAGTCTGACGCTCTACCGATTTGAGCCACGCGGGCAGTGCTGCTCAGTTTTGCCTGTTTGTTGAAAGTTTTACTCTCTAATTTTGGTATATAAACAAAGAGGCGCCTGGTGGGGCCGGCTGCGTTGAGATTTCTCGCTACAAGCAGAGAAATTTGATCATGGAACCCACCTTGGCAAGAGAAATTTCACGTCGCGTTTGCACAATACAGCTCTCCTCCATTCAGATGTGCGTTAATTAATGGCATGTGAGAGTCGACGAAATATGAATGGGACATGTGGTATGGTTATGCTCAGTATATTTTGGTATCTTTAGGTCAATAGATCCGTCCATCTGTGCACATCTCCCACCCCTCCTCATAACTCCATTGCGAAACTCCATTATATGCAGCCATAAACCTCTCTATAAGCATAGCAAAACGCCACCTTTTCCAATGGAGGGCATGCAAAATCTTTCGTATCACGTCCATAAGTCCATATGCCCGAGAAGGTCAGCTCAGCTACATGGCGGCATATACTATCCCTGCTCCAACGGCAGCCATGGCGCCGAGAACCGCAGGTGGTGGTGTCCGCTCTGCAGCGCTGCTCGAGGTGGAGGATCCAACTACTAGGGGTCCCTCAATCTGGCCACTTCCGGCGCCTTCGGTGGCGGTGGCTGGGTTGGCCACAGCAGAAGCGTCCGGAACAGCGCTGGATCCAGTTCCAATCTCGACGACGTTTGACGATGTGGCGTTGAAGTTGGTCTGCGCCAGCGAGATCTCATTGTTGTCCAGGTCATATACAACATACGCGGATCGGAGGAAAGTGTCACCCAGTACCGACGTGCCACTTCCCGCAGGAGCGAGGCCGAAAAGACAGGCCGGTGTCCCGTCAGGGAAAGGGCCCGAGGAATACGGAATTATAAGCTCGTTCATGGTGACGGAGATGGTCACCGAGGTAAAAGTGAAGTCGAGCGTGGTGTCATTAGTTGCCAAGGAGCACGGGACATATGCTGCTCCCTGATCGCTATTATATACGGCAGCGGTCTGCTCGTAAACGGAGCTAACCATCGTGTCCGGGAGATAGGTGAGTGAGCTTCCTGAATCCAACAGGACGGCCAAAGCTTGGCCGTTCGCAATCACGGTGCTGCCCAACGCGAGTGCCGTCAGAGTGATTAAGAATTCGGCGTATTGTCCACTCTCCGTCTGGACTGGAAGGGTCTCCAGCGTGCCGTGATACTGATCCGTGTCCACGCCACCAAACAGGATGCTCCCAGTGCTCGCACTGAGGTCATTTAACCACAAGCTATACGCATTCGATTTAATTTTACTATCGGCAACCAGCGCAGCAGGTAAATTGTTGTATACGGCTTTTCCCAGTCTCCCAGCTTGGACCTCGTTGATCTGGTACCCGATTCCCAAGATGCCTTCCTCGGACGTGCTCTCATAGCCGATGCCGAACTGAAGTTGGGATATCGTTGTGCCACCAATTGTGAAGGTATCAGATGCATAATCTCCCGACGATCCCGATCCGTCAACGTATGTTATATTAAAGTCGCTCGAGATGTATTGATATGTTGAGGACGAATTGGCTACGTACGTCCCGGAGATCGCGCACGGGCTGCCCTTGGACGTACATAGCGCTGAGGAGGGGGTGTTCACCCACAAATCACTGCTGCCGGTGTCCAGATGCAGTCGGAAGGCTTGCGCCGGAGTGCCGAGTGTTCCATTTGCAAAGTAGAGAGTTTCCTATGAGACTGTCAGCGTTCGGAGATCTAGGCTGTGCGTGTAGTTCAACTGACCTCGTTATCTAAAGGAACCTGAACCGTTTCTGCTCTCCTCCGCAATTGATCTCTCGAAACTGGATCTTGAATATGCTTGCGCTGGATCGGGAAGCCGACCACGCGTGCCGGGCTGTCTGTTCTCTTGTGCAAATTGATCCCATATGCGGGTGCTGCCAGCAGCCCTACGGCCAGGGCGAGCGATGCTAAGCTCTTCATTGCTGGAATTAGGGACGTTTCTTAGAGGAACTGGGTGGTCCACGCAGATCCAGTTGTGACAAGGTCGTGAAGAAAGCGGTTCCGAAGGATCGCGTGAGCGTTGAAACTATGTTCTGGAGGAGGTTGGTAAACGGTGCCTTGTATCGGCACAACACAGCCCAGCCAGGACGATAGGCGCGGGCTTGGCAAGGCTGACGTTGCTGGTCTCAGTGGGTAGCGAGAATGGGCGCGGAGTATGGCGTACGGGCGGTGATAGTTGATGCGGAGGATGCTCGCAACAGGCGGCGTGAGGTTCTCCAGCCGTGAGCAGCGAAAGCAACAGACGAAGTATATACTGTACTCTCGCACACCAAGGAAGCAACACGCTGAGCGTGAAACAAACCTGGAGCTCAGGGCTCCATGCTATATTATTTTCGTCCTTCACCTGGGGGTCCGCACAGAGTGACGCGGCCCCATGAGTGCAGGGTGCTGTGGCGGGTTTCCCACTGGAAGCTCCGTCCAATGGCCAGGACGCTGCGACTCGGCTGCGATTGAGGCAACGCGGCCGGCATTGGCAACATTGGCACGGGGTACTTGGCGCTGACGCGGGCATTGGCGCTGGCTGGGGCTCGATCTCCTGCTGGCCACTGTGATCGTGGCCCTCTGGAGCGACTCGGGGGCGGTGCTAGATGCCGAGAGCAAACCCTCGCAGTGAAATCTGGACTGAGGAAGATGCGGTGTGTAAAGCCTCTTCTGCACGCAGCGCCGCCGAGAGTTGGATTACGAAACGCATGATGATACTGTCGCTGTCCGACTCTTCGATTGTCGAGGCGCGACCCAGATCCACCCCGAATGCTTCATGTTTGATCGGTGTCTGGCAGTGACTGTCAGCAAGCCATAACCCGCACCGCTCATGGGCGGCGGGGCACTGCTGTAGTGCACAACTTTCGTATCCTCATACGTATTTCCCTGACGTGCGCCTCTAACTTGTGCGACGCGCAATCCTAATGGGGGTAATGGTGGGGTGGACATGGAATCAACCCAAAAGAAATGTTTGTCACGTGCCTATCAGGTCACGAGGCGAGAGATTACGTGAGGTCTCTACACAGATGCACTCAAATTTGTCAACAGGAAGAGCCAACCCAAGGAACAAGGGTGTGGTAAAAAGTACATTGATTCGCCCTCTCATCATATATGCAACCAAAAGTGTCCTCTGCACTGCGCAGGGGCCACCAAAGCCCCTTGGTGAGTAGATGCAAAGGGGTATGGGATTAAAAGATCAAACTGTGAACGAAACATGATACTATGGTATTATTATAACGCCCACTCGTTCTTACCATCCGTCGGGAGGATGAACGGTTCGTCTATACGCTTAATTGCGAAGTCGCTGCAGAGAATGCTGCTTTGTTATTAGCTATATCACTCGACGTCAAGTAGAAACTCTCCTACTCACCAAGCAGAAGCCACCAGACCATCCAGCTCCGCAACTGCTGCATCCCTCTTTACGCCCGTTACCATGCCCTTGCTTATCGACATCTGTAGCTCCCTAATCCTCTTCCCCTTGCTCACCCCGACCTGTTCTAGGACCTTCTTTCCTAGACAGTCGCTATGGAAGGCGTGTTGACACGGGAAGACAAAAAACTGCCTGCTCAAGAGAGGCAGAGTACAGACATAGCACTTTTCTCCCGGTTCAACAATCGCGTAGCGGTGGTCGAGAGCGGCTATGTCTACCTTGATATTTGCTGCCGTCTGTGAGGACTCGTCCATCTCTTTCTTCAGGCCATCGATATTTCGGCTGTAATCTTCCAGTGCGGCGCAAATCTCTTCTTTAAAGTCGTCGATTACCACAAAATCAGGGAAGAATGGGATTAAGTCCTCAATTTTCAGTAGATTGCAGCGCTTAAGAAATTCGATGGCTGTTTTGATGCCGTTTGATTGTGATATGACTTTCTTGGCTATGGCAAGCCAGAGTTTCTTCTGTAGCGCAGGATTAAAGGCGGGTCTATCCGCAATAACAGACGCTAGGTCAATCTCCGAGTGTGCAAGAGCGAGCTCAACAGCTTGGAGATATTGCCCCATGGTACTATAGATGTGGACGCATGACTGGACGCGATTGTGCTGTATACACAAGCGGAGGGCGAAATCAGAATCGAAGCTTGGTTCATCGCCCTGTAATTCAAGATAGTTTAAAAGAGCAGTCTCATCTTTGGACGGATGGAATGCGTAGATGGAAATGAGAGTATTATGAACAGCTGCATCAGTAGATTGTAGATGGTTTATGACGTGAAGAAGATATCGGACGGCTTGGTTTTGTGAGAGTGGGCCTTTGAAATTTCGGTCGTAGCCAAGGAGAGCTGGAATCAGATTCCGAGGTTCTAGATCTGGATGTCTCATAAGAATGTCGACGAGGTCGGTAGCTACGTGCGTTATGAGCCCGCTGCTGTAGCGATAGAACATCTCCGGCTCAGTTTGCCTTTTCAGCACGTCCAGTGCCTCCTTCCAACGCTCTCTTTGAATCCAGTAGGAGATGACGAAGTTATAATCGTTCACAGCGGTAGCAAAAAACAGCAGCTCGTCTTCTCTACCATGACTACTAATGATATCATATGTCGTTTTCCGGTCTAGATCTGACTTGTACTTCTTCACAAAATTCTGAAATTCCGTGCGGATAGTGTCGAGTTGGTCCTTGGTTTGACCTGGGCTCAGGGTTTCCGATAGTTCAGCCTTAGTGATGATCGTATCGTCTAAAGAGTTGAGCTTAGACATAAAAATCTCAACAAGCCAGGTAGCAATCATGATATTTTGCATGACAGACGACTTCTTGTATGTGGTGATCTTTGTCAAAAGATACTTTCGAAGAGCATCCTGCTGGTCATGGTCCACGAATGTCAAGGCAACTTGTTCAAATGGCTTGGTGCTTTTTCCATAAACGCCCGCTGCCTCGAGGTAGTTTCCTTTACTGATGAGATAATCTCCAGACGCTGTTGCAACAGAGTCCTTCTGAGCTGGACTCTTGGCATAGCGTAGAGCTGCATCAAAATGCTCTGTCTGCAACATAACCTTCCAAACATCTCGATCCTC